GGCACTATGGCAAGACCACATCTCTAGAAAAAACACAAAAATTAGCCAGGCGTGGTGGTGCATACCTGTAGTCCCAGCTACTTGGGAGGCTGAGGTGGGAGGATGACTTTATCCTGGGAGGTGGAGATTGCAGTGAGCCGAGATAGTGCTACTGGACTCCAGCCTGGCTGAGAGAGTGAGACCCTGTCTGGAAAAAAAAAAAGAAGAAAACTACTTATATAATTACTTATATATATATATTATTATATACATTCATTTTATTACAAACATTATAAGAAAGAGCTGCTACTAAAATAATTATCTAAAAAGAATTACCCTGATTCTAAAGAAAAAAAAGACACATCAGGAAAACAAAACTACAGAGCAACACATCTATAAATATTGATGCAAAAATCTGCACAAAATACTAGCAAACTAAATTCACGTCAAAGGATTATACAGCATGACCAAGTGGGATTCATTCCTGGACTGCAACAATAGTTCAACATACTAAAACTAATCAGTGTAATATGAACCATAAACAAAATGAAGACAACAAGTAAATATTGTTATTCATTTAAAAAAGCATTTGACAAAATTTAATTCCCTTGTATTTAAACATTTAAAAATCTAAGAATAGAAGGAAACTACTTCAGCATAACAAAGGCTATATATGAAAAGCTTAGAGTTAACATCATACTCAGTGAGGAGAAACTGAAAGCTTTTTCCTGACATCAGGAAAAATGCAAAGTTGCCCACCCTTGCCACTTCTACTCAACATAATATTGGAAGACCTAATCAGAGAAGTTAGACAAGAAAAATAAATAAAAGGCATCTAAATTGGAAGGAAGAATAAAAATTATATGATAAGGTGCCATAGTCTTACATGTGGAGCACCCTAAAAATACAACACACACATAATAAAACCTGATAGAACTAACAAATAAGTTCAGTAAACTTTCAAGACACAAAATTAACATGCAAAAATTCAATTAAATTCATATACACCAAAAAGGAACAATACCAAAAGGAAATTAAGAAAACAATTCCATTTCAATGGTATCGAAAAGAATACTCAGGAATAAACTTAGCCAAGAAGTCAAAAGACTGTATACTGAAAATTACAAAACAATTCTGAAAAAAATTAAAGAAGGTATAAATAAATGGAAAGATATCCACAGGAAACTTCTCCAGGCAGCCTTGAACTAACCCAGTTCTTTCACTATTCTCACTTGTAGTTCTCAAGAATAACTGTAGAATGTACTGGGATGCAACACACGATTAGAGGAGGAAGTGACTGGAATAGTACAGGCCCTGTTCCAGCCTCCTCTAGAAACAGGATGTCCTTCAATGTTTTAGCCTCGCAAATTCTATTACCCTTAGAGTGTAAAGCCAGAGATGAACTACTCTCCTGGGCCTCTCAGCTGCGGTACAAATGGATTATGTTCTGACAAGATTCCATCTTACCCTAGGCAGCTTTCCCGAGCCTTGGAGGCTGGGTTGTAATGAATCCTAGGCTTCTGTTGTCCCTTCCTGCCTATTTGTAAGTAATAATAAGCCTGCCTCATGTAACTTGTTATGTGTATAAGTGTTCTGTCTCACTGGACTCAGACAAGTTGGTTTCAAGTGCATAGTGAATTTGCTTCACAATATCAGTATTTATGGATTGGCCAACAATATTTTTGAGGTGTCAATAATACTCAAAGTGATCTATAGATTCAGCACAATCTCTATCAAAATCTCAATGATGTTTTTGGCAGAAATAGAAAAATTCATCCTAAAATTCATGTAAAATCTCAAGGTACTCTGAATAGTCAAAACAGTCTTCAAAAAGAACAAAGTTGAAGGCATCACATTTCCTGATTCAAAACTTACAAAGCTACAGTAATCAAAACAAGGTGGTACTGGCATCATGACAGACATATAGACCAAAGGAAAAGAAGAGAGAGTTGAGGAATAAGCTCTCACACAGATGGGCAAATGATTTCCAACAAGGTTGCCAAGACCATTCAATGGGATAAGGGCAATCTTTCAACAAATGATATTGGGAAAACTGGATACTCACATGTGAAATAATGAAGTTAAACACTTACCCCTACATAAAATTAAAATGTAACACCATATAAAACAAACTAACTAAATATAAGAGCTACAATGGTAAAACTTCAAAGAAAACAGGGGAAAGTTTCATGACATTAGATTTGGCTATGATATATATATTTTTGGATTGCACCAAAAGCACAGGCAACGACGACAAAACATAGATAAATTGTATTTCATAAAAATTTTTGTCTATCAGAGAACACTATCAGCAGATTTTTTTTTCCTGTGGAATGAGAAAAAAATATTTACAACTCATAGCTGATAAAGAGTTAATCTCTAGAATATATAAAGAACTCTTACAAATCTACAACAAAATCCCAAGCAACCCAGTTGAGAAATAGACAGGATTTTAGACATTTCTCCAAAGATGACATACAGATGGCCAATAAGCACATGAAAAGATGCTCAACAACACTAATGATTAAGTAAATGCAGATCAAAACAATGAGATACCACTTCATACCCTTTAAGGTAGCTCTTATCAAAACAAAATGAAACAAACAAACAAAAACCCAGAAAATAAAAAAAAACCCAGTGGGTAAGGAAGTGGGAAAATTAGAACACTTGCACATTACTGGTGGGAATGTAAAATGGTGCAGCCACTTTGGAAAATAAACAATTAAAAATGGAATGTTGATATGCTTAATATGATAGTTCTTTAAAAATTAAACATGAAATTGTAACATGATGCAGCAATCCCATTGTGGGTATGTACTCAAAAGAAATAAAAGCAGGAATTACAACACATATTCTCACACAGATGTTCCTAGCTGCACTATTTACAACAGCCAAAAAGTGGAAACAACCCAAATATCTATTGATGGATGAGTGGATAAGCAGATGTGGTATTATATACAATGGAATATTATGTAAATTTAAAAAGGCATGAAATCCTGACACATACTACATGTGGATGAACTTGGAGGACACTATGCTGAATGAAATAAGCCAGATGCAAAAGGACAATTTTGTATGTATAGGATTCCATTTAGATGTGGTATCTGCAGTAGTCAAACCATACAGACAGAAAATGGGTGGTGGCCAGGAGTTGGAGGGAAGGAGGAATGAGGAGTTATTGTTTAATGACTACAGTGTTTCAGTTTGGGGAGTCGAGAAAGTTCTGGAAATGGATGATGGTGGTGGCTGCACAACAATGCAAATGTACTCGATGCTACTGAACCATACATCTACAAATTATTAAAATGGCAAATTTCATGTTCTGTATAATTTACAACTTTAAACCTGCTCCCCCTGCCCCCGCCAGCAATTTGCTCCATAGACCTTCAAAATAGCTGGAGGTATCTTCTGATCACAAGTAGAGGTTAAAATACTCACATAACACAGCATTTTGTCAATAATTAATTTAGTACATTTTTCTCATAATAGTACTGTTTGAGGTTGCAAAATAAAGCACCCCCTGTCACCTTCTGGACATAGTTTTTGTTAATGACTGCTCTGTTTCTATCACCTGTCAGAGCTTCCATTAATGGCTCCTTTATTTCAAAAGTCCAGATAATACCGCGGAAGCAAGCTGCTGGTGTCACTCAGTTCCTTCAGTTTCGAATTTTTTTCTGAAGAAAATAAAAATTTTCAACAAACCACTGTCTCACATTAGGAAAAACTGTCACCAGCAGTGGAGCAAGGGATTGTGAAACTTAAAAACATAAAAAAAGAAGTCTTGCAATTTGAATTTTGCCTCAAGATGGCTTTCATAATTAAAAAAAAATTCCAGTGGCATTCTAAATTTGATAGTTTTAAGAATCCTATTGGAATAGTTTTTATCATTCATCACTCATGCGTGTCATATAATTCTGACAACTCTTTTAAGAACACGTTTCCATTCCAATACAAAGAAGTGCCTAGTATTGGCTATTTTCTCACTGTGTTTACGTTTTTTTCTTTATTTCCTCTCTTTCTTCTTTGCTCCCTCCATCCCTTTTTACTGCCTGCCCGCAATTTTCTTTCTTTAAAAAATAAGATAGGCATAGTTTGCACAGCAAAAGATTACATTTAACCAAATACAGTGTTTTGGGACATTATAATAATGGAATTTTAAAGTGGAGTAGATTATCGTTTTTAAAAGATTATCATTTTTTCTATATAATTACTGTACTATGCATTTTACTCTACAAATACTGTATCAAAACATTCAATGAACTGTTAAGAGAGAAATTATGTTGCCAAGCTCTGAAAATATGAAATGTAACTTCTTTTGAAATGACATTTAATTTTGTTTTAAAGATTGTACATGACCCGTACAAGTGTATTTATTATTTAAAAAAGTAATAGAAATTATAATTAACTCTTTAAAATATATCAGCCTCTCTGTAATTTTTTAAAATTGTACTTTAAGTTCTGGGATACACGTGCAGAACGTGCAGGTTTGTTACATAGGTATACACATGCCATGGTGGTTTGCTGCACCCATCGACCTGTCATTTACATTAGGTATTTCTCCCAATGCTATCACTGCCCTAGCCCCCCAACCTCCGACAGGCCCCTGTGTGTGATGTTTACCTCCCTGTGTCCATGTGTTCTGACTGTTCAACTCCCACTTATGAGTGAGAACATGCAGTGTTTGGTTTTCTGATCTGGAGAAATAGAAATGCTTTTACCCTGTTGGCGGGAGTGTAAATTAGTTCAACCATTGTGGAAGACAGTGTGGCGATTCTCAAGGATCTAGAACCAGAAATACCATTTGGCCCAGCAATCCCACTACTGGGTATATACCCAAAGGATTATTAATCGTTCTACTATAAAGACACATGCACAAGTAAGTTTATTGTGGCACTGTTCACAATAGCAAAGACTTGGAACTAACTCAAATGCCCATCAATGATAGACTGGATAAAGAAAATGTGGCACATATACACCATGGAATACTATGCAGCCATAAAAAAGAATGAGTTTATGACCTTTGCAGGGACATGGATGAAACTGGAAACCATCATTCTCAGCAAAATATTTTTGGGTTTTTTGGCCTTAAAAACATTATTTTTTCTTTTTCTCCAAGGTTCTTTGTTTAGTTGAGAGAATTGTGTTTAGCCATAAGATTGGCTATAAAATTTTAATTTTAATGTATACTCCAAAGGAGTATTTTACTATTTGTAAATTTAAAGAGTCAGTTAAGGACTTTAATTTTACCCATTGGAAATAATATGCCTTTTAATTATCTTCCTAGGAGAGAAAATGAAATAGTGCTTAAAATTAAATGTACAATTTGAAGAAAATAGATTTTATATTAATCTCCAAACCTCCATGTGTTACCACCAGGATTATTTAAATAATAAATTTATGAAGTTTTCAATTAATGCCATCCTTGGTTTGATTCTGATGTTAGTGTCCATCGTTTATAAAAATGCTATTCATGTTATCTTTACTAATGAAGCAAAAATTCCTTGAGCTTCTCTGGAAAGTTAGCATGAGTTGGTCGTTTTCTGTTTCTGCGATTGTGTATATATAGCATATGGGATTCTTTATTTGAAACTGCGTTTAGAATAAAAAAAGTTAATTAACATTGAATTCTTTCCAAACCTTACTAGGTTTTTAAAAAATCACAGTTGATTACATTGGCTCAATTGTAATTGCATCTTTTTTTACTCCAATGTACAAGAACTTTCTGTTCTCCTACTGTTTACAATAGTAATGCCACAGGAGCAAAGACTGCAGGTACATCATGCCTGTTTCTGCTGTCGCCGCCTATTTGGCTGGGGAGATAGGGAGAAACAGTTGATGGTTCTGAAACCTCTCCTGAGACCATGTGAGGTAAAAAGGTATGGCTTTGCACATCCTGGGACTAGGAAGAGTTTCATCTTTTCCTAATATCTTCTATCTCAGGCTGCTTTTGGAAAAATTTTTCTTAGAGTGTAAACATGGGGCAGACTAATGTGGTAACACATAACATTGTCTGGGAGACACTTTAGTTTAAGAACATTCAAGTAATAGACAATCATTCTGCCCCTTGCTAGACCATTCTAAAAAACAAACAAACAAAAAAGTCCAAGTAAAAAATCTCCTGCCCTACAAATGTTAACTTTCCTCTTTTATTTTCTGAAATCTCTGAGGATATTGTGAGAATGCTTTCTGATGGGGCTGGTTAGCTCTGAGTTTTAGAATGATACTCAGATGAAGCTAAATTCTATGAGTTCTTGTTACCTTTTACTCTTCCTGTGACACAGGAGGCATATTCAACACAGTCATCTTATAAATGTGGTGTTACAGCATTTATACAGGAAGATTATCAGAAAAATTATTCAAAGTTTATGTCCCATATGAGGAAGATGAGTGCGACATTTTTGAACACATATGCATACAGATTTGAAATCCACAGGAGAAAAGCAAATGTCGGTTCGTTTTATTACTGACCCTTCTTGTCATTTCATGTAAGTAATTTCTCTAATTTGTGCCTCAATTTTCTCTCCTGACAAATCATGATAATTATATAAAGAGGTAAGCCTTCTTAAGTTAACACTCTTAAGATATCAATTTGGGAATTTACCAGTTTTGAAAAACTTGGACAAGTTAGGTAACTTTTTTGAGTTTTATCATAGCTGAGAATTCTTACATTATAAAAATAAAAAAATGTGGGAGATGTTCTATTGTGATTGTCACAAAATAAGTTGTCAGTGGATGGTAATTTTCATTATTTTTCCCATTACACATTTTTAGTGGTCTCAAGAAAACACATGAGGCTATAATATATATTAATCTACTTGGAGAACCAGAATTAATATTGGACTGATGTATCAATAATGAAAACTGAGATGTATTTAAATTAATTTAGTTGTATATGGATGTCATGACTACTCTTATTGAAAACAAACAACTAAACCAAAAATTGATCCGCATAGCATTTTTAGCTGTATTAATGTTGAAACAATACAAACAAGAAAACCAAATCATGTGAAAAGGCGAGTTAGCTCAGCAACTGAGTGTATATTAGTATGACTTTATTGTATAGATTCTAAAAGTACTACTCATTAGCTGATCACCACCATTTTCAGTGTAAAGACATCTCCTTAATATTAAAAATATTCACCGACTTATATACAATATGGTAGTTTTAGGATTTATTAACTGAGAAAATACACAGTGACAAAAAACAAATGAGGGTTCCATTTCACTTTTCAGTGAGTTTGCATTTTAATTATTTTGTCATAGGAGTATATGCAAAAGTTGTATATCCAAGTCTGTCTTCACTTAGACTGGGGCTCATTGTTGAATATATCTAAATTCTACAAGTTAGAGGCAAAATGAGGCGAGAACTGTTTTTGTTAATTTTTGTACAAATGTAAACCTATTTTTTCCATAGTGCATACAAAGTCATGGAGGGAGATTTGAGGTTTAAAATGCAATAAATTATCATTCATTTCTTCATTCGTTCTTTCAAAAACTTCTCCAGTGAGCCTGTGTTATGAGCCAAGGGGCTGGGAATACAACAGTGAATTAAGATAAAGATGCTATCCTCATGCTATTGCCACTTACAGTTTTGTGGACAAGAAATACAGCAAACAAACATTTTATAATAGAATTTTGCAATAATAGTGACATAAGGGTAAGGGGCAAGAGAGTGAGGGAGTGTGTGAGTGTGTGTATGTGTGTGTATGTTATGTACCTGTGAGAGAGAGAATGTATCAAGGAAAGTCTGAGGAGATTATTAACATCTGAGCAGGCTAACATGCATATATTTGGGGAAAGGTATTTCTGGTAGTGGAAATAACATGTCCTAAAACAGTAAAGAAATTGTCATGTTAGAGCAACACAAAGAGGACAAATTAGGCTACAGAGGGTAACCAAGGAAGGATGTTAGGAGCTGAGGTCAGAGATTTAGGTGGGGTTTCATCATCTAGGACCTTGCAGGGCATGACCACTATCAGACAAGTTTGCCTCAGAGGTAAAAGCAATTATGACAACTCTTGAAAAATAAGATTTTTGCTGCCTAATGTATCCCCACAAGTTTGGCAAAAATTAATACAGCTTTCTAAAGTCTGAATTCATATTTATATCTAGGAAGCCATGTGTTATTCTTTTTTTCATATGCAGTTAGAGAAATGATCTCTTTCTGTTTTTGATGCCCCTCAGAACTTATTATTAATAATTCTGTATTAGTGGTGGGCAGGGGAAATAGCTTCCTATTTTATAAAACTCAGACTTCTGGGGCACTTGAAATTGGAGTTTATCTTTACTTTTGGTTCCAGTTTCTAGAACCTCAAATTTCTTGTTAGTAAGGGGTCCTTTCTTCCACAATCCGAGAAAAAATTAATTAAACATGGGTACTGAGTCATCGTTGTTTATGAAAAATGGAATTATAACTGGGTGAGATGGAAAGGTAGATGAATAGATTATGACTTTTGTGTAGTGTGAATTTTTACAAATAACTGCATTCTTTTCTGTTTAGAAAAAGAGAAACTTGTAGTTCCTGATCATTTCGACATTTTTCCTTCTCCTCTCTACAGGTACACTTTATCTACTTCTGTGGTTTTAATGTAAAAACCTAAATTTCCTGTTCTGCCATTTCTTTTGAGGCCCAGAGTTTTTTGTCTAATTAACTACTGAATATTCTGCAGACAGTTAAAACCTAGGGTATCTAAAATCAAAGTCACCAATTTTCTGTCTCAGACCAGCTTCTTCTGCATATTCCCAGTCATAGCTGATGGCATCCCATTCTGCCTATTCTCCCAAGTTAGAATTCTGAATCATCTTTGCTCTGTCTTTTTTCTTTCTGCCTCATCCTCAGGTCACAGCACATTGTTCTACTGTAAGGATATTTCTTAAATAGCACCTTATCTCCTTTCCCATTTACTACTGCCTCTTACCTAAACTTGTGCAATAACTTCCTGTCAGTTTCTTCAAATCTGTTCATCTCCCCTTCTACTTCCTGGTATGCTTATAAAAATACAGTATGTAAATGACTTTTACTTGTTCCCTACGGTCTGTAAGACATACAAAAATTACTCAGCATGCCATGCAAGTCTATTTACAGTCTTTTAAGTTGGATATCTGGCCTCATAATCTAAGGTCTGACTGCAACAAAATACTTGTCGTTCTTCAAATATTTGCTCATGCTTTTCCCTCCTGTGGTAATGTTACCTTCACTCTCTAAGACACACATAGATCTTTCATTTTCTGGTAAATAAGCTGCCTCGCATTGTTCAATATTAAATGTTGATTTCTTTGTGAGTTCTTGCTGTTCTCATGGCTGCTCCTTTCTGTATTTCTAAGAATTCTCTTGGCAGATGCGGATCGTAGCGGGTGGCTGCTGCTGTAAGGCGGTTGTGGAAGTTAATAAAGGTATCCATGGAGAACACTGAAAACTCAGTGGATTCAAAATCCATTAAAAGTTTGGAACCAAAGATCATACATGGAAGCAAATCAGTGGACTCTGGAATATCCCTGGATGACAGTTATGAAATGGATTATCTTGAGAGGTCTATGTATAATAATTAATAATAAGAATTTTCATAAAAGCACTGAAATGACATCTCAGTCTGGTACAGATGTTGATGCAGCAAACTTCAGGGAAACATTCATAAACTTGAAATATGAAGTCAGGAATAAAAACGATCTTACACGTGAAGAAATTGTGGAATTGATGCATAATGTCTCTAAAGAAGATCACAGCAAAAGGAGTAGTTTTGTTTGTAGGCTTCTGAGCCATGGTGAAGAAGGAATAATTTTTGGAACAAATGGACCTGTTGACCTGAAAAAAAAATAACAAGCTTTTTCAGAGGGGATTGTTGTAGAAGTCTAACTGGAAAACCCAAACTTTTCATTATTCGGGCCTGCTGTGGTACAGAACTGGACTGTGGCATTGAGACAGACAGTGGTGTTGAGGATGACGTGGCGTGTCATAAAATACCAGTGGAGGCCGACTTCTTGTATGCATACTCCACAGCACCTGGTTATTATTCTTGGCGAAATTCAAAGGATGGCTCCTGGTTCATCCAGTCACTTTATGCCATGCTGAAACAGTACGCCGACAAGCTTGAATTTATGCACATTCTTACCCAGGTTAACGGAAAGGTGGCAACAGAATTTGAGTCCTTTTCCCTTGATGCTACTTTTCATGCAAAGAAACAGATTCCATGTATTGCTTTCATGCTCACAAAAGAACTGTATTTTTATCACTAAAGAAATGGTTGGTTGGTTGCTGGTTGTTTTTAGTTTGTATGTCAGGTGAGAAGATGGTATATTTGGTACTGTATTTCCCTCTCATTTTGACCTAGTCTCATGCCGCAGAGGGTACTTTAAGTCGTACTACTTCCATCAGGTGAAACCACTGTGAAGCTACCTCAAACTTACAGCCAGGTAGTTGCAATTGAATTAAATTAGGAATAAATAAAAATGGACACTGGTGCAGTCATTATGAGAGGCAATGATTGTTAATTTACAGCTTTCATGATTAGCAAGTTACAGTGATGCTGTGCTATGAATTTTCAAGTAACCATGAAAAAGTTAAACATTGAAGTAATGAATTTTTATGATATTCCCCCCACTTAAGACTGTGTATTCCAGTTTTGTCAAACTATAGGAATGATGATGTGGAAGAACTTAGGCATCTATGGGCATGGTCAAAGGCTCAAACCTTTTTTTAGTATTGATAAACAAAGATGACCTAACTGCATTTTTAGACCATTTATCTGGGATTATGGTTTTGTGATGTCTGTCCTGAACACTTTTGTTGTAAAAAAATAATAATAATGTTTAATATTGAGAAAGAAACTAAGTATTTTATGTGAAAGGAAGTGTGAGCAAACTTAACTCTTTTAAGACTAAAACATAACATTCATAGAGGGGTGGATTTTAACTGTAAGGTGCTGCAATGCAACTGATCTACCAGCATAAATACCTTCTGATTTGTCCCTATGCAGATCAGTTGAGCTTCACATGCCAGCAATATATCTGAAGAGCTGTTATATCAAAAGCCCAAACTGTTGATTATTATGAATAAATTCTATAGGAACATATGAAAATACAACTTAAATAATAAAAAGTGGAATATAAGAAAAGCATTAAATGGATGGGCTGAGTTGCCTCTAACTTGAGAGCAGATGGTTTGATCTTGAGCAGAGACATGACTCGGCCTGTTCCGTGAAGGCAGAGCCACGGACCATGGTTCCAGGAACGGCCTGCAGCCCACTTCTCCATACACACTGGTGTGTGTGGACGATGCTGCCAGGGCACCACTGCCAAGTAAGAAAGTGAAGCAAATCAGAAATTTGTGAAGTGGAAATGTTCTAAATGTGGTGAGTTACCATAAAAATCATAGTACTCTTTGTAGCACAATTCTTAAACATGTTATTTTCTGTTGAAGTTTACAATCAAAGGAAAATAGTATGTTTTATAGTGTTTACTAAAAGAAAAAGACCATGGCACATAGGACTCTAGATGGCATCCAGCCGCAGGTCAGAGCTGAGCACCCAGCCTGGGAGGCAAGCTCTAGGCCTCAGCAGGTGCTGAGCCGTCACTCACCGAGTCTCACTGGCTTTCAGTCTGACATTTCACGGGAGATTTCTTGTTGCTCAGATAATGAACTTGTGTTTGTCAATGACAGTTTGTTTTTTTTTCTTACTAGATCTGTAACTTTTCTAAATACACATACCATGTAATGGTATCTTAAAGTGTGTTCCTGTGTGACAATTTTGTACAAATTTGTTATGTTCCATTTTTATTTCAAAATATACATTCAAACTTAAAATTTAAAAAAAAGAATTCTCTCTTCCCTGTCCCTTTCCCTAGCTCACATTTTGTTATTATTAGCTGACAATATGTTCATCTCTTTTATAATACAGGAACAGCCTAAAAGCAGGAGCTATTAATATGTCTATCTCATTTATCTTCATGTCTACAGTACACACCACAGTGTCTACCTTACAGCATGGATTCAATTAATGTTTAGTGACATTAAAAAAGGAGGAGGAAAAGAAGAAGAAAAATGCAAATAAACCTGGGAGAGAACACAGTGTCTAAAATGTTACTGTGAGTATTTTTGGATCCTTTATTGAGAATATTAGGTTATGTAGTAAAGAAATTTTGTATTTGATCTCTTACAACACAAAAGCCCTAGTAGTCAAATACCAGAGAGAAAGGGTTTTATACACAGTTGTAAAAAGGGCACAGAGAATACTGGTTTGAAAAGTTGTATATAAACAGCTCCTTCTTCATCATATTGCCCAGTAATGATTATTACTTCAAAGGTTAGTCTGGATAATATTGTTTGAAATCAGTTGTGTTCACCTTAGCACATGATCAGAACAGCCTGTGATTATTACGTTAATTCTGAAACCCAAACCCCTCTGTTTAAGTGTGAAGAAACTGAGACACAGAGGAGTTGTGAGGCATGTCTGTGTTTCTTATTATGAATATAATTTGATTCTGTGCAAAGCCTAGAGACTTCCAGCCCCAATCATCTTTTATATCTCCTTTTAGGGAAGATTGCAAATTCCTAAACCCTTAACATGGGATATACAACAATAAATTTAACACAATTGATTTCATAAGTTAAATTTCCCTCAATTGGGATGCAAAGTTGTACATCTCACTTGGACTAAATCAAGATCTGCAATCTTTTATGAACGTCCATGTGTCCTATTCTTTAATTCTCCTCTAGTCTTCTCCATCATGAAATAGCAATTCCCCGATTCTAGTTTCTTGGTCCAAAAATCTTAAATGTAACCTTGATTTTTCTTTTTCCTCTTACATGCTACATCAGATCCATCTGCAAATCCTGATAAGCCTCCATTCAAGACATATTCAGAATCTTACACTTTCTAATTATTGCACAGCAACTACTTTGTCCTAGGTACTTTCATCTCTTGTCTATAATGTTTACCATATTTTCTTGTCTCCTTATTTCAGCTCTTGCCTGAACATAGCCCAATCTTATAATACTAGAATAATCCTATGAAAACATCAATTATATTATGTCATTCCTCTGTTTAATCCCTCCAATGGCGTCCATTTCACTGTGAAACCAAGCCAAAGTCCTTTCAAATGGCCCTCAAGGTTTTACATGATTTGCCTTCCTCCCTCGAGTTCTCTGATCTCCCACTATTTTCCACCTTGCTTACTCTATTCTGGCCACACCAGCCTCCTTGCTTTGAATTGTGGACACTCTCCTACCTGAGTATTTTGCCCTTGCTGTTCTTTCCCTGTAGCTTTCTTCCAAGGAATTCCACATGGCTCATTGCCTTATCCCCCTTCAGCTTTTTCTTCAAATGTTATCTTTGCAGTGAGGACTTCCCAGGATATACTGATACTGTAACTTCCTCTCAGACCACAGGTATCCCTTATCTCCCTTACCTGTTCAATTTTTCTCCTTGTGGCTTATTACCATGAATCATGTATTTTCCTGATTTTTTCCTCTTAATTGTCTATCTCCCTCCAACTCCAAAGATAAGAACCACAAGGACAAGGGTTTATGTATGTTTTGTTTACTTATAAATTCTTGACATTCACAGTCGAATTCTACGAGAGGTACAAAGAGGAGCTGGTACCATTCCTTCTGAAACTATTTCAATCAACAGAAAAAGAGAGAATCCTCCCTAACTCATTTTATTAGGCTAGCATCATCCTGATACCAAAACCTGGTAGAGACACAACAAAAAAATAAAAAGAGAATTTTAGGCCAATATCCCTGATGAATATCAATGCAAAAATCCTCAATAAAATACTGGCAAACTGAATCCAGCACCATATCAAAGCGCTTATCCACCACGATCAAGTTGGTTTCATCCCTGGGATGCAAGGCTGGTTTAACATACTCAAATTAATAAATGTAATCCATCACATAAACAGAACCAAAGACAAAAACCACATGATTATCTCAATAGTTGCAGAAAAGGCCTTCAACAAAATTCAACAGCTTTTCATGTTAAAAACTCTCAATAAACTAGGTATTGATGGAATGTATCTCAAAATAGTAAGATCTATTTATGGCAAACCCACAGCCGATATCATACTGAATGGGCAAAAACTGGAAGCATTCCCTTTGAGAACTGGCACAAGACAAGGATGCCCTCTCTCACCACTCCTATTCAACATAGTGTTGGAAGTTCTGGCTAGAGCAATCAGGCAAGAGAATGAAATAAAGGGTATTCAATTAGTAAAAGAAGAAGTCAAATTGTCCCTGTTTGCAGATGACATGATTTTATATTTAGAAAATCCCATCATCTCAGCCCAAAATCTCCTTAACCTGATAAGCAAGTTCAGCAAAGTCTCAGGATGCAAAATCAATGTGCAAAAATCACAAGCATTCCTATACATCAATAATAGATAAACAGAGAACCAAATCATGAGTGAACTCCCATTCACAATTGCTTCAAAGAGAATAAAATACCTAGGAATCCAACTTACAAGGGATGTGATGTGAAGGACCTCTTCAAGGAGAACTACAAACCACTGCTCAACAAAATAAAAGAAGACACAAACAAATGGAAGAACATTCCATGCTGATGGATAGGAAGAATCAATATCATGAAAATGGCCATACTGCCCAAGGTAATTTATAGATTCAATGCCATCCCCATCAAGCTACCACTGACTTTCTTCACAGAATTGGAAAAACTACTTTGAAGTTCATATGGAACCAAAAAAGAGCCCACATTGCCAACACAGTCCTAAGCAAAAAGAACAAAGCTGGAGGCATCATGCTATCTGACTTCAAACTATACCACAAGGCTATAGTAACCAAAACAGCATGGTACTGGTACCAAAACAAATATATAGACCAATGGAATAGAACAGAGCCCTCAGAAATAACACCACACATCTACAACCATCAGAGCTTTGACAAACCTGACAAAAACAAGAAATGGGGAAAGGATTCCCTATTTAATAAATGGTGTTGGGAAAACCAGCTAGCTATATATAGAATGCTGAAACTGGATCCCTGTCTTACACCATATAGAAAAATTAACTCAAATGGATTAAAGACTTAAATGTAAGACCTAACACCATAAAAACTCAAGAAGAAAACCTAGGCAATACCATTCAGGACATAGGCATGGGCAAAGACTTCATGACTAAAACACCAAAAGCAATGGCAACAAAAGCCAAAATTGACAGGTGGGATCTAATTAAACTAAAGAGCTTCTGCACAGCCAAAGAAACTATCATCAGTGTGAACAGGCAACCTACAGAATGGGAGAAACTTTTTGCAATCTACCCATCTGACAAATGGCTAATATCCAGAATCTACAAAGAACTTAAACAAGTTGACAAGAAAAAAAAAAAAAAAAAAAAAAAAAACCAAACAACCCCATCAAAAAGTGGGCAAAGGAAATGAACAGACACTTGTCAAAAGCAGACATTTACATGGCCAACAGACATATGCAAAAATGCTCATCATCACTGCTCATCAGAGAAATGCAAATCAAAACCACAATGAGATACCATCTCACACCATTTAGAATGGTGATCATTAAAAAGTCAGGAAACAACACGTACTGGAGAGGATGTGGAGAAATAGGAACACTTTTACACTGTTGGTGGGAGTGTCAATTAGTTCAACCATTGTGGAAGACAGTGTGGCGATTCTGCAAGGATCTAGAACTAGAAATGCCATTCGACCCAGCAATCCCATTACTGGGCATATACCCAAAGGATTATAAATCATTTTACGATAAAGACACAAGTACATGTATATTCATTGTGGCACTGTTCACAGTAGCAAAGACTTGGAACCAGTCCAAATGTCCATCAGTGATAGACTGGATTAAGAAAATGTGGCACATATACACCATGGAATACTATGCCACCATAAAAAAGGATGAGTTCATGTTCTTTGCAGGGACATGGATGAAGCTGGAAACCATCATTCTGAGCAAACTATCACAAAGATAGAAAACCAGACACTGCATGTTCTCACTCATAGGTGGGAGTTGAACAATGGGAACACATGGACACAAGGAGGGGAACATTCCATATTAGGGCCAGTCGGGAGGGTGGGGGTGGTGGAGGGATAGCATTAGGAGAAATACCTTATGTAAATGATGAGTTGATGGGTGCAGCACACCAACATGGCACATGTATACCTATGTAACAAAGCTGCATGTTGTGCACATGTACCCTAGAATTTAAAGTGCAATAAAATTAAAAGAAAGAAAAAACAAAAACGTTTTGTGTGTCTTGGCCTTGCTTGTATATACAACTTCTGTTGAAAACACCCTCTCTTGGATCACCAAAGTGTCCCCTTAACTACTTGAAATCATTAGGTTTTATATTAAATATAGACTGACCTACTTATTAGAACATAATAATAACGTAAGAGTGAATACTGTTTAAAATGTAATGCAATTACTAAAAATATAATTTAAAAAATGGAGGGATCACATGTTCATGGATGACCTGGTTTATTAATGCTAGGTCATTATTTGTAAGAGCTGTGACTATATGTAATAATTAGTCTCATAGAAGAAAGAAGTCCATTGCTTCTTGTCTCCCATGGCGCCATGGTTGTGTTTCCTAGGAAGTCTGAGGCAGCAGGATACTCAATCCCATGCCTGTCCTTTTAGATCAGTTAACATGGATTGGTGACCTTTCTTTCTGTCCTTTAACTAGACAGGGACACCTCAGTTTCTCAGAATCAGTAGAATGTTGAACATATTCACTAACCTATGTGGTTCTCTGCCATCAGTCTCGTGCCCTGTCTAAAGTGTTGAAAGGTTATATTGCTTCACCCTTGAGTTAAAGATCTTATTTTTTTGAAGTCTGACCTACGAAGGCTGGGAGATGATATTAAATCTGTTTTTTTCATGCCATGCTGTTGTGTAAAAATCCACTCACTGAAAAGTCAAATATCTTGCTCTTTTTTCATGTTTAAAATTACATGTTTTTAAATAAGATTATAACATAATGTTCAGGTAAATCTAATATATGGAGGAAGACAGAATCAATAGGACCACAGGGAAGGGAATCTGGTGACTTGATGATATTGAAAACTTTTGGCTCCAACAGTGTGCCCACTTTGGGACTTTTTA